ACTTTACAAAGATTGAGCCCCATAATGCACATGAAGGGGAGAAAGTAGAGAAGGATGAAGAAATAAGTTTAGCTTATGCAGCAAATCTGTCCACCACTAACATGTACTCAGGTAAAAAGCATTCTAGGAGCGACAATGGATTAGCTGATTTGGTTTATACAATAGGTAATATAGGAGCTATATATTATGAGACTGCAAGTGAAATCAAAGGATATTGTATCATTCTTCAAAAAAGAAACCTAGAGTAATGATAGGAAAATATCGCTTTTCAATAAAATATCATAACTTGATTTCTCGACTGATGAAATGCTATCTTCTAATGAGTATATATCAAAAGATACTTACAAAGTAGATTTCTTCTTTGCATTACCACAAGCATTTAAAAAGGATTACATACAAAAGTAGATATATGAATGTAATGCTTATGCCTATCCTTTGACTTTTCTCCTCCTGAACACATATAGTTTGTTTGTAATCTGGACAATAGTCATATATTCTATATTGTTGAGTTACAATTTATAATTTGGTTAATAACTTGAATTTGGATTTAGATTCGACAAAGATAAATTGAGTTACAGTTTTTTAAATATGTTTGTATTGTATGTATATATATAATGTCAACATAGATTGAATTTGGATACGACAAACATAGATTCGATTATGAATTCTATAAATGAACAATTTTTGTATGTATAAATGAAATAATTATGAATTGTATTAATGAAAAAATATAAATTCATATGAAGTACGAAAAATTTGAAGTTCTATACATAAATTTACAAGTGACTCGTTGTCTTCAATCCTTAATGTGCAAATGTGGATACATACTCACACCATTCATGATGTATTCCATTAATTTCATCTTGCGTGAAGTGTTCCTTTTGAGCCTACTATGAAAAAAAAATAATGAATGAATGTAAATCACTTTTCATTTCATAATTATGGTTAATAGAAACAAGTATTAGTACTTTAAATATTATGCTAACCTTATTTAGTGTTCTCATAAAATCATTAATAACAATCTTCTTCATGAAACGGAGGATATAATATCCGTATCTTGTCATTTCTAGTTGATGAAAATCCTATAAAAAAATGGTTGGGTAGTCAAAGTGCTTTTAAACAAATAAAAATATATATTTGACACTTACTAGAAATGTAATCCAATTTATTCATTTTTTTTCTATCAACATTACCCAATCCCATGACAAAAGAACTCGTAAATATAAATTATACTCATAAAAAATTCGTAAACATAATATAAATTAGTTAACATAACAAAGATGAATAATTGTTTATTATATTGACAAGCTCGGGTTTAGGCTCCAATCTATTTTTTCTTAAGTCGAAAAAGTAAATCATAAATGTTGCGTACTTAATGACAACTAGTTGCCACTAACCCATGCAAATCATAGTCATATCTCTAATGTTAGAATGTAATGCTTGTGACAATTATAAAATACATATATTAAATATAGTTAAGTAATTAACAAAGTAATTAACATACGTAGGATTATAAGGTGCTAGAAAGTATTGAGACTATTTTTGCAATGCTTGAGCCAATGCACCAACACGTACATTTACAGAGCTAGCACCATGGCTGAAATGATTCGAATCAATAAATCTGTAAGTATTAGTCATTTGTCTATTTTTCAAACTTCTGTAAAAAAGGTTGCATGATGAAAAAAATTCAATTATCATATAATTATACATTATGAAAATATATTCATCATATATATTTAAATGAATACATAACCTAACTTTATGTATGCAAAAATTTCAACAGTTAATATCTCCCTCATATCACAAAATCTAATAATCACTTTTTGCCTAATCCACAATATCAAAGGATAATCAAATAGTCCATCAAATCTAAGAATTTTTTATTTTCAATCTTTAAAATGTTCCTATCTTAAGATTTCTTTGACAATCAAAATAATAATATAGTTAATCGGTATAATAGAGATGTAAGCCATTGTTTACAACAAATTAATGAATAAAAATGACATATCTTTGATTCTAAGTTTTGAAAAATAAGTTTCAATGTTTATTGTTTGAAAACTATTCAATCAATAGTTGACATATTTTTGGGATATTTATGCAAAAAAAGTAGATAGTAAATGTTTCTTAATATATATGAAAAATAAACATATTTTTACCTTAATCGACGACAAGGGATTGATAGTGGTGATAGTGGGGATGGTGGCAATGACAAAGACAAAGTAGTCGAGGGCTTTGCGGGTCAAGGTTTATTCTCTATAAAAATAAAAATCGATTTGATTTTGGGGTTAAGGTTTCTATTGTATTTTCTTTTAACAGAAATGCAGTAATTGTTCATTATAATGTAACATGTGTATAATCAATTGTTGCATTTCTTTAAAGCAAAATGCAATAATTGTTTATTTTTTAAGCCATATTTATAATCAATTATTATGCTTCTTTGAAGTAAAACACAGTAATTGTTTATTTTTTAAATCATGTGTATAATCAATTACTGTATTTTTTAAAAGTTAAATGCAGTAATTGTTCTTTATATTCTATGATTTCATACACATTAATTGTCTTGTTTATTGTGTTTCTTGGAATAGAAATGAAGTAATTGGTAATAATTTTTTTTAAAATCACTCTGATACTGTGTTTCTAAGCTTTGAAACACGATAATTGTGGATTACTTCATACGTTTCTTAGATGAACTCAATAAAGTAATTGATTAATAATTTTTTTTTTATATTTGGGCACTCGGATACTGCATTTTTAGGAGTTGAAATATATTAATTGTGTATTACTTTTATTGATAATTTGTTGTGTTTTTTATGTAATAAAAGACATTATAGTAAAAATACATGATTAAGTAATCTGAGACTCCCCCAACCAAAAATATAGGAATCTAATAATCTCATGTCATAAAGAATCATCATTTACCAGGAATTTACATTTTTTTAAAAATCATACTTTTCTCTAAAATTTAAGATTTCATGAACCAAACGCTCTTTGAATGTAATGTGGTTTTTATTATTATTATTATTTGAAAAAGCAAAGCTATATTTACACCGTTACAATAATCATCCAAGATAGTGTTAGCGTCAAGAAAAAATTCACAAAATTGAAAATGAATTTAAAATTATAATGTTTGTTTCAATTCCAATAATTTTTTCTATTTAGTTTGGTTTTGCTTTAAATATGAAATATTTCAATTCAATTTAATTTTTAGATAATGAAATGAAAAAAATTGAAAATATTCAATCTGAATGGATTTATATTTTTATTAGTTTTTGTATAATTTTTAAATTTTTATAAAATAAGAATAATTATTTTATAATTAAATCTATTTAAATATATTAAAATACTGTAAATTTAACTTTAAAAATTGATGAACTAAATTTAATTAATAAAATTTGATTCAATTTCAAATGAAATTAGATTCAAATTCAAATTGATTTCTAAAAATTTAATATATTATGAATTAACTAAAATTGAACTAAATCACTATCACCCTTAGATAAAAGTCCCAAATTTTAAAAGAGTTTAAGCCAAAACAAAATAATTCAGGGCTATTTTACATATAATCTTCTCAAAACACAAAATTAATATGTCTAGATTTGAGTCAATTAGATCAATGGATACTGAGATCATTTAACATGTTAGTAGAATTTGTATTTAAAAATTGTAAGTTTGAAAGAATTTAGATAATAATATTATTTTTAATTACATAAATAATAAAATTCAAGAATTTAGAGTTAGATTAAAAACTTAAAAAATACTTTTTTGAGCGGTCAGATTTAGAATGCCCACAGTTGGGACTGTTCTTTTCGTATAATCAAGGATTAGAGTCGATTGGATCACCTATTGGCACTTCGTCGTCTGAGGTAAACTTGTCTGACTTTCAAATCAATAGAAAATTAGGTTAAAACTAAAAAAATAGTATATTTTTAATGAAAACACTTTAGAAAAGAGGGAAAAAGTGAAAACATGAAATTTAAAAAAGCTGGCTTATACGAACAAGATGTTTTTTAAAATCTTTTTACGGAGGTTTTTTTCTAGTCGTAGTCTATTTTCAAGGTGGGATTTTTGCCTTCATGGCTACAAATTCCAAGCCCTACGACGATTTTTGCGGACGACTAGCTCGTGAGCTTACAGCGATTATCATTTTCATCAACTATCACTTTCACCTTAGCATCCATTGTAATCTGCGAAGGGGAATTAATTCCCATTATTACCCCGACATAATTACAATAAGAAAAATGGAACAAGTTAGAATTGAGAAACAAAAATAAGAACTCAAAAATCAAAAAGCGAAAATGACAGACACGGGAGGCTGTGTTACTGGCCGAAGAAGAAACAATTTATAGAGACAAAATAATGGGATATGTCTCAAGTGAGTTGTGAAAAGTGAGAATAGACACGTGTAAGCTAGATTAGTTTTTTTTTTAATAAGAAATAAAAAATTTTTTTTACCTCTTACGATTATTTAAGGGCAAAAGAAATTAAAATGAAAAAATTAATGAAATAAATAACATAAAATGATATAAATAATAGTTTAGTGGAATTAAAATTAAAGTAATAAACAACATAAAATTATATAAATAGTAGTTTAATAGAATTAATTAAATGAATAACATCATTAGCTGATTTTTTTTATATAAACTCTTATGTTTATTTTAACTGCATTTTACTTTTACTATTTAGATAACATTGTATTTTTTTATCCAGCAACTATATTTTTTTATTTAACTAAGTATTTTTTTAATTTTTAAAATATAAATAGCAAACGCATTTTCTTTATTTTCATTTCTTTAAAAAAATTTCATTTTCTCAAATCAAATGCTTTTTTCGTAATTCAAAAGTTATTTTATAAAAATAAAAATAAAAAACAAAAACATAAAATATTTTCTCGAACCCCTAGAGCCGTAATTTCGGCAATGATTGCAAAATCAGCTTTAGTAACAAGTAACCAAGAACCTTATAAAATTTCCCAGTATTCCGAAACACAAAAATCGATATGATTTTTCAGTTCATTCCTATCTTGTATTTTCTCAAAAAATAAAATCTGGCTTACTTTCTTATGTCTGTGCAGCCAAAGGGCATCAATCCAAATTTAAGACACTCTTCACTGCAGCTTTATAGGGTCAAATAGGAAATACAAGTTATGAATCAAAAATGTCCATGCACTGTCTTGATCCCAGCAAATAGTATGACAGCATGCTTGGTCCATCAACTTGAATCAAGAGATGATGCATTCTTTGCTTGTGCAGCAGTTTCAGCAAGCACCTTCTGCCCTTCTGATGCCACTACTTCCGATTCTTGTTGAACAGGAACACACGGTCTCCAGATCGTTTCTGTGCCTACATCCATTAGTGCAATGCCATTTGCTTGCAAATCAGCTCTCATCTGATCACTTTTCAAGAAATCTTTGTTTCTCCTCACTTCTGCTCTTTCATTAATTAGACGCACCACATCATCTTCCACCAAACCTGCTCTTGTTAATGCTTTCTCCTTTAGTTGTAGCAAAACCTGCTACGAAGAAAATCCATCTTTAGAGTTAAACTTTGATAGAAGGCATGAATCTGTAACATCATGTAATAAAATAAAACCCACCCATCACCTCAGTATAAGAGTATGGTGGCTGCAATCCAAGAACATCCAATACTTTCTTTACTTCTTTCTCAACTTCCATAAGGGATTGAATTACCAATAATCTTTGTTGCTTTTGTTGCTTCTTCTGTCAAGTTACAAGAGAAAATATATGTTATCCTGCAAAGAAATGACCATATATATGTAATATATACATAACATATATATATATATATATATAGAGAGAGAGAGAGAGTGATTAGCATGCTGGAAGATAAGCAAACACCTTTAGCACCATCAACAAATTATTTACTAACTTCAGTGCTTCTAGAAAGGCCCCAGTCAGTATAAGTGAAGTGCTCAAGTCATCTGACATTTTAGCCTGGAACTCACTGCGTAGCTTGCTAATGCATTCCTGGGCATCTGGAGTAGCACGGGCTGATTTGCCATTCTCGGGGCTTTCTGCTTGTAGTTGTAATAAAGCATCTTGACAATCTTTCAAAGTCTGCACAACAAGGCAGGTGAGGATACTTTTCTAAAGGATTGAATCCAGCGAATTAAAGAACTCAGTGTCTTGGTCAACTCAGAAAAACAATTATGTATTTCACACCAAAAAATCATAGTAACACTTTTGAGTACTTTCAACTGTAAAGAGAGGCAAATCTACCAGTAGTTTATATGTCAGGGGCCAATATTAAAGAAAGATGGAACTCCAAAAATTAGAAAGAGGCACACTAAATGCATCCATTTAGCATGCACATATGCAAGCCCTAGACAAATAAAAGAAAAAAATTTTAAGCCTGAAAGGCCATATCATTGTCCTTGTCAAGACATCTGAACTGTGATCAGCATATGCCTATTAACAATAAAAATATCATGAGAAGTGAGATCAGCTTTAAACCTGATATATATAAAATACAGCTTCTGATGCACCTTCCAGCTGCAGAACAGAATAATTGAGAGGAGAACGGTAGTGTGCGTTTATCAAGAAGTATCTCAAAGCCAGTGGATGATATCTCTCAGTAATCTAGAAGAAAACAACACATAAAGTAACACAGATAAAGAAACTCATATCAGAATACTTCTTCTGTAACCTTCACCAGATGAGGGAAAATCAAACACATGATTAGCCCTAGCTTTACCTGGCGAATTGTGAAAAAGTTACCTAAAGATTTTGACATCTTCTCATTGTTATTGGTAACATGCCCATTGTGCATCCAATAACTCACGTCACTCTCTTGGCATGCAGCGCAACTTTGAGCGATCTCATTCTCATGGTGTGGGAAAATCAAATCAAGCCCACCACCATGAATGTCAAATTTGAAGCTTAAATAATGTGCACTCATTGCACTGCATTCTATATGCCACCCAGGTCGTCCATGTCCCCATGGACTGTACCAGTATGGCTCACCTGGCTTTGCAGCCTGAAACAATTATTAAATATCAAAATTTGGAGATGTAGCCAGCTTTATAAATGGTAGCTGACTGATGCAAAACAGAATGGATTAGGAAGTTCTGACATTATATATTGTGAAACTTTAATTTCAACAAATTAGTATGTTGCTTTTGTTATTATTATTATTATATTATTTTAGGGAAAATGCATATTTTACAACTCTCACAAATAATTGGTTGATATTTGTAATTAGGGTTTGTCATCCTTGTACTTTAAATCTGGTTGCCTATTTGAAGTCCCATTCCCAGTGTTTAAGGAATAGTTTTTTAGTCTACAATTAGAGACTAGGCTACAAAAATGTGACCAAGTAAATTTTAAAAAGTAAAAAAAAAAAAAAAAAATGCTTGTGCTCAGTCAATTTAAAAGTTTTTTCTTCGGTCAAGCCCAATTTTATAGTTTAATGCCCTGCTGTCCTACTATCTAAAGCTCATTTTCTCCATTGTTTTCACTCCTCACCACACACTATCACAACAACCACAGCAATTTGGTGTGCGCACAACAACCACAGCAACTTGCTTTAGCACAGTGCTGCAATTCCTTCCTGTCCCTCCTTTTAGCTAAATTGAGGTAAACATTGGGAAACTTTTATGATTTATATAGAAATTTGGGAAGGAAGGGGTTTGATGGAAATTTGAGGGAGAAATTTCTAGAGAAATTTCTAGAAAAAATAGATAAAAATAATTAATGTAAAATGGTTAAAAAAATTAATTTTATTACTTATTAACATTTTTGGTATTTATTAATCTATATTTTTGTATTTTATTTTTATATCTGTTTCTTTTGATGTTTGTATTGTTGCTATTTTTTTTTTTTTTGTGTTAGATTAATTTTATCTTATTATTTTTCTAACTAACTAGCAATTCAAATGTCATCCATTGCTTAATAAATCAAAAATAAAAAAAAAATGATGAGATAAATGTCAAATTAATTTATGTACAAAAATTTTTTAAAATTTACTTAATAAAATTGAGCGTTTTACAATCTTTTACTCTTAGGGTTAAAAACTAAAAGCTAGTAAAATAGACAACTTTTTGAATATTAATATTTTACCATAATATTAAAAAAGTTGTGAATAATTCCTTTTATCATATAAAAAAGAACATTAACTGTTATAAATACTTTAAATATCATAAAATGAGTTTTTACGACTATAATTATATTTACTTTGCTATAAAGCACAAACATGTAGGAATGCCTCATGTACTTGTGTCATATGAGTTATGTATTTGACATGGAGGGACACATCAAAAAAATAATAAAATATTACGACACGGTCAAATCATGAAAAAAGACAAAACAAAAATGGGCTAGACACGACAGTAAAAATTCTTTCATTCACCAGGAAAAAAGAAGGAAAAGAGGAGAGAAATGTTTAGTAAAATATAATCTATTTTATATTCAAAGTAGAGATAAAAAATGATTGGAAGGTGAAATGATCAAGGGAAGGAATGGACAGAGTTGCAACACTATGATGAACCAAGCAGCAGTTGCTAGACCATTAGTGTGTGGTGAGGAAGATGTAGAAAATGACCTTTCTATAGTAAGGCTAGAGGGAATCAAACTATAAATTTGGGTTTGACCAAAAAAAAAAAAACACTTTAAAATTGGGCTCAGCCACTTTTTGTTGAAATCTTTAAAGTTTATTGGCTCACAATTTTTAAGGCCATAAAGTTAGTGGGTTAGATTAATTTGAATATATTAATAAAATTATAATTAAAAAAATACTTTTTAAATAGATTCTACGAGATTTGAGAATTTTTATTGCATATTATCTATATTTTAGTAAAAATTAATGAAATTATTACATACAACAAATATTTTTTATATTATTCTTTTACTTTCGTATTCATCGTATTCTCATGCCGTGTTCTAATTTTTTTTAAATTGTTGCATTCTCATGTGCATATCATCATATCATTTTAGTGTCTTGTGTCCATGTTTGTGCTTTTAGGTACTTCATTTTATATAGTGTAAAATTAAAAAAATAATCATGACCACAATGACTGCAATGGCATCCATTACGTCCACAATTGCGAGAAACGTAATGCCACCAAAAGCTAGGCCACAACCAAAATCAAAATCCCTGCTCCTTAGATAAATATAATAATTGAGCCTAATCAAGGGGATCTTGAGTAACTAAATTTTTTTCAAGACAAGCTTGAGCACAAAAATACTAAAGCTCAAACAAGATCAAGCCAACCTCAAGAAGTCTTGAGGTTTTGAAAGGAAATAAGCTCAAGCCTATTGGCTAGCTTGGCTTGATTACACCCCTAAACTGTATGAGTACGGTAAGTAGGTTTCGAACCTTCCATAATGCAAAGTCAAAAGGATTACGCTTCCTTGAGTCAACAGTAACACGTTCACCAGCTCTATTATTTTCCATCTTCTGCCCAGATAACTTGCCATAATTTGGGAATTTATCAACAGCGAAAAACACATCCCCATCAACCGCATATCCAAAGTCTTTGTTTATAATCTGCAGAATAAAAATATTGGGAAAGTTATTGGGGGAAAAACTGCGTAGGAAGCATTGCCTTTACACATAGCATGAGGGAAAAGAAATAAAAGTGTCATTACCAATATTTAGCTAAAACACAACAGAAAAATGTAAAAAAGAAAGGAAACATTGAGACAAAATCAAGTGTGTATTATTGCAATATATTTTAAAAGGTAAAGTTGGGGTGGATTGTAGCTCTCACAAAACGAAGCATATCTCTGTGGAATATATGTAATAAACTTCATGTCCCACAGCTCAACAACTCTCAACAACGTAATTAAGCAACTTCAGCTCAATATAAAGTGGCAGGTTCACAAAAAATTGAAAAGCACTCTTCTAGTTCTTTATGATTGATATTAAAAGGATAACTTCTAAAATGCCACTTATAAGAACAGAGCATGGGCCATTGCATACACTTCCTTTGACTAGATCATTGATAATCATAGGGCAGATGTAGAGAAACTAGAAGCATATGGTAGACAAAAATGACATGCTTGATAACAGCTATCTATCAAAACAATATGATAAATGAGCCGACAATATAACTTCCAATTATTTCTATTTAAATGTTTAATCTTTTTGTTAATACAAAATACATACATGCATGCATGCACACAAAGATACATAAAGTGTTATCATGGGTTTCTCTGAACATATAATTATTAATACTAGGAGAATTCCCCAAAAGTGGCAACAGATTGCAACAGTGCGCTTGATCATGAATAGGTGCACTACATTTCCACATAAAGAGAAAGTGATAGAGAGATGCAAGGTTGCAATAGGGAGAGATGAATTGTGATATCTATATGTCTACAAAAAAAAAAAAAAGCATATTCAGAGGAAGAAAACCTGAGTTATCATATCTTTGATCTGCTCAATGTGGTCAGACACACGCGGCTCATGTGTTGGAGAAAGACACTGTAAATCAGCCATATCTACATTATATTCTTTACAGTATCGGTCACTCAAACTTAAAGGATCTTCTCCAGTCTCATTAGCCCGACGAATTATCTGAAGAAGTCCAACCGTTAGCACACTCAACATAAAATGATGAATACATAATGGGTTGTTGAGAGATGAGTGATGGACTAGTAGTCAGAAAGCAAAGGTAATAAAAAAAAATAGCAGCAAGAGGAATACATTCCCTCTAAAACAGCTACACTCAGCAGGACAGAATGCTCTTAAACAAGTTCAAAACAAATTAACATGTCATACAGAAGTCCTTAAGCATTTATTCAAGCCAACTGTTGACATATTTGGTAAGCAAATTATGCAAATAAATTTAAAAGGATAAAACAAAAAACTAAGTTGTGGTTTCAGATCTCCCGTATGTGCAAATGAATATATATCAATTTTAATGCATTGCATTAAAATGAGAAGGTATCACAGCATAAAAAAAAAAAAAACAACAACAATGAAATTGCTCTCTACGAAAAAAGCAATACCTTATCATCAACATCAGTAAAATTCCGCACATAAGTAACCTCATAGCCCAAGTGTTGTAAGTACCTATATAATTCCAATCCACAATTTATTCAGCAACCAATTATATTTAAAAGGAAAAAAAAAAAGAAAAGGAGTTCTTTCGGTGAAAAAATTATACAGACCTGTAAAGGACATCAAAGGCAACGGCAGCACGAGCATGGCCGAGGTGGCTGAAATCGTAGGCAGTGACACCGCAGACATACATGCAAACTTTTCCAGGGGTTTTGGGCTTGAAGACCTCTTTTTGCTGAGTCATGGTATTGTAAACAACGAATTGGAACACTTCGGTTTCCTTCTTTGCCATTGTTTTAGGGGCTTTTTTCTGGTTTGTTTCTTGCTTTGAGAGATCCATGCGCAGATTAAAACGACAAAACTCCCCCCCCCCCAACCTCTAAATGGATTTTGTATCTGCGTTAATTTCAGATTTCAACTTACGTTAGACAAAATAACTGATTCAATTCGGATTCATTTAGTTTTTTAGGTTTCAAAGAAAATTTAGGGAAGCTATGGAGATAAAAACCTAATCAGAGAAGGAAAGAAGATAAATGAGCTAAATTGAGATGGAATTAAGGATTGCAAACCCTAATCATTGCACAAATTAAGGTAAGATTGTTTTAGGACAAGAAAAATTAAACAGAAGCAACGTTACCAAAGTACCTGTGCAGTTAGCACCGACTTTGGGGAAACGAAGGTTCAACTGCGTGACAGCTACTCTTGCAATGCTTTTCCAGTCTGCATTCACCCGATTTTGACGGCCTTCTATTCCAGTTCCTCACGCCCCACCTATCCTTGATATCAGCAGGCCCATCAGAGTAAATACTTATAGCAAGAAATTAAAGTGCGAATCCTAAAACCGTGTTATCCTCCCTTATTCTGTTTTTACAAGAAGCGATTACTTAAATTTAATAATTCAAAATTTATTAATTAAAAAGGTTAAAAAGTTAAATTTATTTTTTAAAAAAAGTAAATTTTTTTTCAAAAAAATCAAAAAAATTATTTTTTATCAAAATTATGTTTTTATTTATTCGAAAAAAAAAAGGGAAAAATAAAGAGAAAAAAAAGGATTAAGGAAAACCATAGAAAAGAGAAAAAAAAAAGGATAAAACAAAATAAAATTAATAAAAATAATGAAAATAAGGAAAATAAGGAAAGGAAGGAAAAATTTTTAAAAATTTGGATTGAACAATTAAATAATGATACTTGTCAGTTTATTAAATGTTTAAATCAAATTTTAAAAATATATTTTAAAACTAAAATAAATAATTTATAAGCATTTATCATAGGATTAAAAATAATCTTCCTTTTTAAAAAGAACTAAGTTATTTTATATTAAAAAAATGATTAATCTCTTTACAATCTAATTTTTTTTTATTATATATGCGTTAAATAATCTTATTTTATTTATAATTTCACACATCAAACATGTATTAAGTTTCTAATTTTATTCTTCAAACACATTTGCTTCTTTTTTTCCCCTACTTGCCTCTCTCTTTCTATCCCATCTTAGCATTTACCCCTGCCTTTCCTTTATGGTTTTGAGAGATAGCTTCTTTTTTTTTCTTAATTTGAAGATGAGTATTAAACAATGGTTTTGTTGTCTAAGTATATTGTTGTATTGATTAATTAGATTGGGACTTTCAATTTTTATTGTTTAGAAATTCTTGAATTTGATTATTTGGATTTAGTTTGTTAAATATTATTGTATTAATTAATTATGTTGTGACTTTTAATTTTTTTTGTTTAGAAATTTTTTAATTTGATTATGTATTTTTTATTTTTTTAAATAAAATTTTTAATTTGATTATTTATTTTTATATTATCCTGGTACAATAACTTACTACTAAAGGATAAAATTTATATATCAAAATTTGAATTTGAATACAAATAATTGAGTTTGAAATTGAGTATACATAGTAATCAAACTCATTAACTAGTGTAGCCATCAATAAATCATTGAGAGAATTTGATTTTTTTATTATGATTTTAATGGATTAGTTATATTTTAATGAATTCCGTAATCAAATTCATTAACTAGTGTAGCCGTTAATAAAATACAATGGATATTTTCTTCAACTTATTGATTTAGTGACTAAAAAATTCTTATAAGGATACATAAGTCTTGGGTTTAAACCAAGACTTCATCCCTTTCCATCGTGAGCAATACCCATGCTATGTACCAAAAAAGTGTTAGAAAAATGGTCCAACCCCATGTAATTGGTTTTAGATCAATCAAAGGCCATGGGCCTCGGTCTTTCTTTTTACAAAGAGCCCTAGCTACTTAATAAAAGAGGTGGGGTTATTTTAAGGTGATGTCGCAAACCAAGAAGAGAAAGAAAAAAAGCCAAAAAAAAAAAAAAAAGAAGAGTTAGTTGAACAGAAGTTGATTTGTGATCCGATTGAGCTGAAACTTTATCAGCAGGTCTATGATTCAGAGTTCTACATTTTGAATGGCAAAGATCGAGTTTAAGTACTCTAAGAACAAATCCATGGTGTATTTGTTAAGTCACCTATTTAGTGAGATTTCTCTAATTGTCTCTCTCTAGTTGTTGATTAACTCTAGTTTTAGCTAGAGAAGAACTTTGTATATTCATTATTTGATAATAGAGATTTTTATGGTGGTCTATAGTTTTCCCTTTACATATGAAGGTTTTTCACGTAAATTTTGGTGTGTCTTATTTTTTTTACGTTTTTTATTATTGATTGTTGTTTATTGCTATAAATTTATTACGATATATTGCTTCTGCATTATTGTGGTTATTACTTTAGGCCCAATATGTGGTATCAGAGCAAGGGTTATTTTAAAACATTAATACAAAGCAATCTAAGATAAAAGTAAATTTTATTTGAGATCATGAAAGGTGATACAGGTTTCATGATAAAATTGACAGTATCAAATTATTCAATTTGAAAACTTATGATGGAAGATCATTTATATTGCAAAGATTTATATGAGTCGATATTGGGTGATTTGGCTAAACCAACATATATGAAAGATAAAAGCTAAAAGAAGTTAAGCAAAAAGATGCTAGCTACAATTAGAAAATAAGTTGATATCAGCGTGTTTCATCATATAGCACAGAAGGTAGATGCCCACATTGTTTGAAAAAAATTAGTAATATTATATGAGAGAAAAATATGTATAAATAAAATTACGATTATTAAAAAGCTTCTAACTTTACAGTACAGGGATGGACGATCTATTACAAAGCACTTAAGTGATTTTTAATATATATTTAATTGGATGACTACTATAAAGCTTAAGATAGATGATGAAATAAAGGCATTATTTCTTTTAGATTCATTGTCAGATAATCGAAATACTTTAATTGTGACTGTTCTTAATTTAACTCTTGATTATAAAGTGACATTGAAAATGGTAAATGACAATATGTTTAATAAAAAAACAAGGCAAAAAGATGTAGACCCTGGGAGTTAAGCTCTGGTTACAAAGAATAGAGGTAAAAACATCGACAAAGGTCATAACTCAAAAGGCCATAGTAAGTTTAAATATAGATCCAAGTTCAGAGATAAAGTGAAGTATTTTTATTGTAATAAAATAGGTCATCTAAAATGACACTGTAAAATCTTAAAGCATTAGATGATGGCAATGTTGCAACAGTGAATTCAGATAGTGATTCAGTTACTTTGATTTATATACATGGTGATTGTAATCATGTTGATAATATCGGTATTGAGTGGATAGTTGACACAAGAGCGATATATCATTGTGTTCCTAAGAGAGAGTTGTTTACAACTTACAAAACAAGCGACTTTAGTTGCACCAAGATAAAAAACAAGAGTGTGTCACAGATTGTTAGGATTGGTGATATTGTTATACAAACTAGTACAGGCTGCATGTTGACTTTAAGGGATGCCAGACACATTTCGGATATGAAAATAAACTTGCTTGCTATTAGTGTCCTAGATAAGAAGGGATATAAGAAAGAATGAGTGATAAAAGCTTCTCAAGGATGTATGGTAATTGTAAAAAAAAAATATATATGTTGCACAATATATAAGACTTGGATGCAATTGAACAACAACCAAGTAAATGCCGTTAAAGATGATACTTAAGTAAACTTGTGATATAAGAGGCTGGCATACATGAATGAGAATGGGTTACAGGTTTTGGCAAGGTAGTCTCCCATTCCCTTAACCAAATGTATGTCTCTCGATTCATGTAATTATTATTTATTTGGTAAGCATCGTAGAATTTTTTTTCATAAAAGTTCTCAGAGAAAAAAAATAGATTGGAATTAATTTATTCTAACATATGTGATCCCATTAAGGCTGAGTCATTAAGTGGTAGTAGGTATTTTGTTACTTTTATTGATGATGCTTTACGTAAGACTTAAGTGTATATATTGAAAAACAAAAGTCAGGTATTACAGTATTTTCAAAAATTTCATGCCATGGTGAAAAGGATAATAGGGTTACCTTTGAAGTATATTCAAATTGATAATGGTAGGGAATACACATACAAAGATTTTGAAAAGTACTATTTAAAATATAGGATTAGGCATGAGATGATAGATCTAGAACACCGTAATATAATAGTGTAGTTGAAAAGATGAATCGCATAATTGTGAAAAAAATCAAATACATGTTAAGAATGACAAAATTATCAAAGCTATTTTGGGGTGAAGTAGTCAACACAGCTCATTATTTGCTTAACAGATCATCATCAATTCTTTTGGATTTTGACATTCTAAAAAAAGTATGGACATGAAAAGATGCTTCATACCTTTACTTAAAAGTTTTTGAGTGTAAAGCATTTATGCATATGCTAAAAAAGCAGAGGTCAAAGCTTGATAGTAAAGCCACACAGTGCATGTTTATAAGATATGATGATAAAGAATTTGACAACAAGGTATGGGATCCAGTGAAGAGAAAGACAATCAGAAGCAGATATGTGATTTTTCATGAAAAAAAAACTATAGCAGACCTTGAGAAAAATGAAAAGACTACACGAGTTACTATTGAGTGTGAAATTTTAACACTGATAGATGTTCCACAAGAAATAGCACATATAGTGAAAATGAGTAAAAAATAAAACTTGAGGATATGAATGAGCCAACCATAATTAGAGATGAGCTAGATACAATCAATTTTGAGCAAAGGGAGCAATCATCTTCACTAGATAGTGTTGAGCAGGGAGAGCTACCTTCGGCATCAAGTAGTGTAAAGTTTCAATCTAAAAGATCTACTAGAAAGCACAGGCCATCTATCAGGCATTCAAGTTTAAATTTTATTTTAGTTACTAGTGAGAGAGAGCTAGAAAGCTTTCAAGATGTATAGGCTACTCTAAATAGAGAGCACTGGTTAAAAATAATAAAAGAAGAGATGAATCATTGTGAAAAAATGGTATGTATGATCTTGTTAAACTTTCGAAAGGAAAGAAACCGTTAAAAAATAAATAGGTGTTCAAGTTTTAAAAAAATGATGACAAGCTAGTGAGGTACAAAGCTCAATTGGTGATGAAAGATTTTTCTCAAAAATCAAGCATCGATTTTGATGAAATATTCTCTTCAGTTGTAAAGATGAGTTCCATTCAAGTGGTACTAGGATTAGCAACTAGTTTGAATCTTGAGCTTGAACAACTTGATATTAAGACTGTATTCTTGCATGGTGACTTGTAAAAAGACATTTATATGAATCAGCCTAAGAGTTTTGAAGTGAAAGGGAAAGAGCACTTAGTTTGTAAACTGAAGAAAAGCTTGTATGGCTTGAAACAAGCTTCATAATAGTGTTATAAAAGATTTTATTCTTTTATGGTGAGCCATAATTATAAAAGAACAACAGCGGATCCTTGTATGTATGTAAAAAATTTCCTTATGGTAACTTTATTATT